AACTCCACACAGACACCCAACCCTGGAATCAAACCCAGGTCTCTGGTGCTGTGAGCTCACTCTCTCTCTCTCACATGAGACAGCAGCCATATGGTCTGGTAAGACTATAGTGGACTTTGCCTTTACCTTTTGTATTTATCTAGGTGAGTGGGAAGTATTGCATTACACAAAAACAGAAAGTGCTGGAAAAATTCAGCACGTCTGGCACCATTCATAGAGAGAAAGCAAAGTTACTGATTCAGATCCAGAGACCCTTCTTCTGAACCATACTGAAGATGGGTCACTGGACCTAAAATGTTTTTGTTTCAGAATTTCAGCATCTGTATTTCTTTTTTTGAACTTTTTTGATATAGTCTTCCATCACACTCCTGACTTGTGTCTTGTAGATGGTGGACAGGCTTTGGAGCATCAGGAGTGAGTTACTCATAGTAGGATTCTTTGCTTCTGACCTACTCTTGTATCTACTAATTTTTATGGCAAGACCAGTTCTGGTCAATAGTAATCCATGGGGTGTTGATAGTGGGGGACTCAGTGATGGTAACATCACTGAAGGTCAAGTTGTGGTGGTTAGATTGTCACTTGTTGGGGATGGTCGTTGCCTGGCACATATGTGATGTCACTTGTCACTTGTGGAAGTGATGGTGCAACAAAATTATAGCTTTAAGAGATGCATTTTGTCCTTTTTTTATGAAGACAGGTTGAGACAGAGATGCCAAGTGGTCTGTTCAAAGCCAATAAAGTAAACAGCTTGTGAGGCCTTTGGGATTTTTATTTTAAAGTTGGAACAACAGAAGCAGCCTGAATGAGTGGGATCAAGGTCCCTCAAAACCAGAATTTTTAGTTTCAGCTTTCATAGCAATTGCTAGGAAGTTGGATGTGGAAGCCATTTTTCTTCTGTTTATTACAGCTAAAATCTTGGGCTCTCTTCTCACATGCTAAAAATGCATGTGAGACAATCTATGTTACTGAATTTGCCTTTGTCAAGGGAATGTTTATGAGATGCTACTATATTGCAACAGTTAATGAGTATTTTATTAATTTGTTAGGTATTTAAATAGATGTACAGTAAAGCCAATATTTTGTCTGTATTTTAACTATGGTGAATAAATAATGTTTTTCTTCCAGTCTGATGGTTTGATCAATGGAATTGCATCCAGAATGCAACACCTGGCAGCTGCCTATAAAATAAGAAAAGGTTAGGATCTAGCCTATCTCAATTGACTAGTTTGGATGGGGTTTGGTCTGGTCCATAACAAATCCAGTGATTCAGGTAATATTCTGGGGCTGAATCCCCACCAGATGGTGGAATTTGAATTCAATAAAAATTTGGAATTAAGAGTCAAATGATGACCATAAACCATTGACGATTGTTGGAAAAACCCATTTGGTTCATGAATATCCTTCATGGACGGAAACTGTCATGCTTACCTGGTCTGGCCTACATGTAACTCCAGGCCCACAGCAAGGGGGTTGACTCTTAACTGTCTTCTGGGTAATTAGGTATGGGTAACAAATGCAAGCCTAGCCAGTGACATCCTCATCCCATAAAAAAATCTAAAAAAGACTTGTCAGCCTATACTTGGATATTCGAGACAACAAGGTGCAGGGCTGGATGAACACAGCAGGCCAAGCAGCATCATAGGAGCAGAAAGGGTGATGTTTCAGGCCTAGACCCTTCTATACTTGGATATTGTCCAGTTCTTGTTGCTCTGAACGTGAACTGCTTCAGTATTCAAGGAGTCATGAATGGTGATGAACATTGTGCAATCAACAGCAAATATCCCCACTTCTGGCCTTCTGATGGAGGAAAGGTCATTGATGAAGCAGCTGAAGATGGTTGGGCCTAGGACATTACTCTGAGGAACACCTGCAGAAATGTCCTGGAACTGAGATGACTGACCTCCAATAACTATGACTATCTTCCTATGTGCCAGGTATGTCTCCAACGAGTGGTGACTGTTCCCCCAGTTTCAATTTACTTCAGGTTTGCTAGACCTCCTTGATGCCACACTCTCACCAGTGACATTTCACTTCGTTAAATGACTTAACGTCTCAAGTTGGACAGCTATTGAGGATTGCATTCATGTTGCTATGTATCAGTTCAAACCTCATCAAAATATGCTAAGAAAATAGCCTAGACCCTAACTTATTCTGATTGGTCAAACTACTCGACTTTAAGCAAAACACACTTTATTTTTACGCTACAGTTAAAATACAGATAAAACATAAATGAAAGAACTGTCTTAATTTTAACTGTATCAAAATTCCTAACAAATTATATATATATATATTAACTACTACTAATTAACTGTTCCAATATAGTAATATCCCATAAATACATGCTTGGCAAAGGCAAATTCAGTAAAATTGATTGCCTCATATGCAATTTTAGCAGCAGGAAGAGAACCCAGCTTTTAGCTGTAATAGAGACAAGAATACGAGCTTCCACATCCAGCTTCAAGATGCCAGCAACTGCTGAGAGCTAAAACTAAAAATCCTGGTTCTGTGGGAACTTGACCCTGCCCTTTTAGGCTACTCCTATTGTTCCGGAAAAATCCCAAGGCCTCACAAGCTGTTTACCTTACTGGTTTTGAGTGGACTGCTCGTGACCTCTGTCTCAACCTTTCTTCATTAAAAAAGCACCAGGACAAAATTCACCTCTTAAAGCCATACCTCTCCCCTTAAAAAAAATACCATCAATATACAAAGATGGTTTCATTTTTGAAAACCTTTACCCTTTCTGTATTAGTACACTACAATACATACACATTACATTGACTCTAAGAATGCAAACGTTCACAACTACAGTCCATTTCAGTCCATTTTATTCCCACTACCAAATGCCTCCATCTTCCTTCATCAAAGTTGCGACAACGCGTCAGCAATTACGTTCTCTCATCCTGCCATGTGTATAATTTTCAAATTGAATGGCTGCAATAATAATCTTCACCTAAACCCTTAAACTTTTCCAAAAACTTTAAGGTGCTATGATCAGTATATATGATTGTCTCAGACACATTACTGGTATGTTGAAATGTTGCAAAACCAACACCAAACTCAAGGTCTCCTTCTCAATTGTGGAATATTTAAGTTGACGATCATTCAGTTTTCTG